TTGTCCCCGTAACGCGTGGGCGTATATTGTGTCGTGTATGTTATTTTTAATTCTTTTTTGGTGATTACAACGGTATCATTATACTCTCAACTCATAATTAACCGTCTCGTGCTATTTACACGCAAATGATTTAGGGCAAATAATGCTAATAAATATTATCATATTTTTTCTATTTTTAAAAAATACAAATTACCTACTTTGTTTTTTTTAGTTGACAGTCGAAATAATCCAATTTTTATATCAACGTTTAAACCGACCTTTAATTTTTATTAACCAAATATCATTTATTACATTAAATGTCTGTAAAATAATTTCCGATCTAAAGTATTTGTAAAACTATTTCAAAAAACATTTCGGGATATAATTAATGAAAACTATAAATCCAGTAGCTTATTTAGAGTTAAATAGGGTTTGAAGAGTTTTAATCTACCTTCCTCACCTAATTTAATAATTTTTATGGAAGAAACTAAAATTAATTTAGTATACAGGCTACAAAAAGCTAAATACTCCTCTGCATAGAATGCTATTACTTCAAGGCAATCGTCAAACATTTGATGAAATTTTTTTTTTCACTCGATTATTCTCTTCAATTTATATGCCGATAATAACGTACTCGACTCGTAACTATTGGGGTAATGAATTTTTATACCAAGTTTATACTTAATGGCAAATTTACTTTTAACGAACAAGATAATAAAAACGGTTTAACGCGAATCATTAACGTATAATAAAGTGGTAATTTAAACTTTCATCTCGAAATTTACGGTATAGCAAATTTTATGATGTCATAAATTTATACAATTTCTCTGCAATCTATAAACTGTGCGCTCAAATGATTTTACAATAGTAAACGAAACACACGCGATAATATTAAGCGAAAGTAAAATTTATCGAAAAAAAATGTTCTTTTTAATATTATAAAAATCTAAAATTGTTCGGCCAACAAACAAACCTCAACTTCTACGTTGGATTAAATGGAATTTATTTTAGAACCCAACGTAAGTAAATGCGATTGTTATTATTATGGAAAACCAAGTGGGATTACAAACAATCCGTTTATTGCTACTGCAATTTACCACCACCGAGTCTATTGGCTCGTATGAAGTATCAATTAAAAATATTAATGAGACGTTCTCGTCGAAACAAAGTGCTTTTGATACAATTGATTATTGTGTTGTTTGCCGAAACGGATGCAAACAGAATAAATAGTAACGTGGTTTATAATGCGACCCTCTTGGTGTTTATGGAGTGTGAAATATTAGTGGATCATCACTTTGAAAAATGAACGAGGATTTCCCCGAGTCGAATTTACCCTTCGGGGAATGCTGCCCGCCCCGTTTTGCAATAAAATGATGCGAGAGAAGGTAATTCTTGAGAGCAATAACCATTATGATCCCTTTTCCGCCGTTTCTCGTTTCACCCCTCCAGTTTTCGTTACTTCCTGCCAACGCGTTCACAATTTTTTGATGGATGTAATCATTTCGATTAGGGGGTGAAAAATCGTTTTGGCTAAATAATTGCAAATCCGCAACATAAATGTAAGACGTGCGATGTTCGTTTAAAAAAATAACTGCCGCCGTATAAACACTGTCGTCGGCTAGTACAAATAAAATATTATCCAAAAGTCGTAAAAAGTGCTGTGCCTACAGAACAATAGTCGTCTAAAATATTCCGTTTTAACATAATCAACTAATTTAATTTTGTGATGAACTATGGCCGGTAAAAAAAAATTAATTTGTAAACTAAAAAAAAATTATATTCTAAATGATCCATTGTGTTATTATTAAAATGGTTAGGAAAATGTTTTTTTAATTAAACTTGCGTGTCTGATAGTTTTATTTAATTTAAATTAGTTACAGCACTGTTAGATTATTTAACACATTAGACGTCTATTGTATTAATATTATTATTGTACAATACTAACTAACATTATAATGTTAGTATACGATCTAATAATTTTTAAATATAATTGTTTATAACCATTAAACTTATTTAACATTACTTAAAAAAGTAGATGCGATAATATGTTTTATTTTTGTTTACTCTGCTACTACATAAATTGAATTTAAATGAGTTTTTTTTCATATTTAATTACCTGATAAACTGTAACGATGACAGTTTCGGTTCAGTTAAAAACTATTATTTACAAATATTCTGATTTGGGAATCACAATGTTCAAAAGTTGCTGTACAGCTAATCAACAGTTAGTTTTGACGTCGTCGAAATGTTAATATTATTTATGTCCTAGAAAAAATCATTTTCACTATTGTCGATTGCTTATTGTTACAAAAATAACATTGTAAAACTACTTCACTTTTAAACCAGCGTTCATACAAATTAAGCGCTCGTTTTTACTGATATTGTTTGTGGATTAATTAGTTTAATTAAAAGTTTTAAATATCAGCTAAACAATTGATTAAACTCATTGAAAACAAATTATCCACGTGGTTCAAAATTAAAATAGAGATTAGAGTTTATAAAGTGTTTCCGACCAGCAAAACGTCCAAAATTACGCGAGTGATTTCAGAACATACACACACACACAACGATGGCTACTCGAGTATTTTTGTTCCCTGGGGAAGGCTACCCGCATGGCCGTAGAAAAAAGTCATAACTCGATATTTCCACAAACACATTATACTTTCACAGTATTTTATTATACAATCATATGGGAATAGTATCGATTGAACGTGTACTCCTCCTCCTGTGCAGCTCCCAGTGAATATTAGACACGTATACAGAAATGGTGATATTTGATTAATGCAATGGAATTCTCCGGGGCCATTGTCGAGGGTTAACATCGAACTAATACACGTGTAAATTATTATTGTATACACTTATAAGTATATAATATATTTATGATAATAACAATCTCGCGTTGGCTGTGTGCACATTGCCGCGCCTGCCGGTGATCGGTCCGACTGCGCAGCAAGAGAGGAGGTTTCGTCGATTAGTATACACAGATATAATATAATTATTGTTCTTGTATAAATAACACGGCACAACACAAACGGCGGGTAAAAAAACGACACTACACACTAGCCTGAGGATTGAGTTAGCCGTACCGATAGAGCAATAAATACTGTTTGTCATTTTCGTTTTAACTGACCGATTTAAACAAATTAAAAATAAAAAAAATCCTATTCTACTGGAAAAACAATGACATGATTTTCTGTATCTTTACTACGGTTAAATAATAAATGTTTATCTATTCCTGCTTATGTTCATACAATCGGAAATAATAACGAAAATTAAGCCGACCGGTTAAGTTGAGAATTTAACAGCCTATGGGGCAAGGTAATTTAGATATACTATTTACATAAGATAGTTGATAGTTATCTTTATGATAATTACACTGAGAGGTAAAAAAAAAGTATTGTCAATTATTAGATACAGACATTTGATTACTCAAAAAGTCGTTATACCAACACGAATGATTTTGAAGGAAAATTTTCAGATTATTGTTTTAAGTTCTAAAGAGCAGCACAATAACGAACTTGTAGGTTTTCTTATAACTTAAATATCTCTATGGCCTAGTGTATTAGAAAACATTTTCTTATATTAATAGACTTAGAAGATGTTAATTGAAATAAAGATTAAATAAATAAAAAAAAAATCGTTTAGTATGTCAATAATAGTATAAACTGTATTTTTAAATAAAAAAAACTATTCAAGTACAACGGTTTGAATTTTGGCAAGCATTGCAGTGCCAATAATGTCACAAGTATTAATACACAACATGCTTGAATGCGAATATTGAAATGTTTTACTGCACAGAAATAATTACTTTTTATAGCTCAAGGCTAAAGTAACGTGTTATTACACGAATAGTCTTATTTACACCTACAGTTCAAAACAAACATAAAAATTACAATCAATGATCAAATTAATAGCAGACTGCTAATCGCAATTATAAAATTAATAGTACATTTGTATATAAGTCGAGCTAATTGTAAAACTTGAATAAATTTAATTTTACTGATGAATATTTAGTACCATGTTTTTTTTACGCATTTGATTTATGAAAATTAATTTTGAGAAACGATTTTGTCACCACAACTAATGCGTTCGAAAAGTTATTGTTTTGTAATTCAAATAAAACGTCGGAGAGAATTTGATTGGTCTAGTGAAATTCATAAAATTTCTCGTTCAATATTAACGCACAACTTCAACTATAACATCCAAACCAAATATGCTCCCGGCTATTGACTATTGATATACAATGATTTGTAAAATAATAATGTTCCTCGTATATACATATGAAAAAAATATTAATAAAAACCATTTAACACTTACCCTTTAATTGTGTTTCAATCAGTATACCACAGTGTTATTATAAAACGCTGTGCTCTACCAACATCGGCAAATTATTCTAACGTTGTCAATTTTAACGTTGTTCTTCGTAGTTTCTAAAAATCATCATACTCATTTTAATACTCAATAACCCTACTGGATGTGTTAGGAGTTTCGAGTTGATCAGCAAGTAAAACACCTGTGGTCGGAGGGTCACAAAACTTATAGACGAGACAAGCACGCCCATTGCATGAGTTTACCTATATTATGTATTTTTTTTTTTTATGAAAAAATCTGTCGAGGAGTCAAGTTCCAGAGGGACAACAGATGTGTAGTTCACCGACAGGTGAGCAATGACGGTTTTCTATTTATTGAGTTATGTTTTTTTTAAAGAACGACCGTTGAATCCTTAGTAATATATTAAAAAAATTTTGTTTGTTATGTGATTTCTGCTACTATAGACTGGTTAAAAAAAAAAACGCCAAATGCAAGGCCGTATGTAAACACGATAAGTTTTAACATCGGTAATTAATGGTGTAATAACTAAATTGAAAAGTATAAAGACTCCCGATAACCCTCAAAAAAGGTCATCCGTCTAATCGAAAAAAAGCAGATGTGACCTCAGAGCTCTGCTCACTTGCTGCGTGGTCAGCAAAATATTATCTGAAGGTGAAAATATCTTTAGTAAAATAAAATCAACAAAATGGTTATTCTTTTATATAATAGACGTTTATTTTTCTAGTTACAAAAATAATTTTTTTGTTTTATGTACAACAGCAGTGCGCTTATCATATGAGACTTACATTACATACACATTGAAAAGTACATAATACATGCAGTTTTAAGAGCTTAATACAACTATAATATGTACATACGCATTCATAAATTAATATGTTTTCACTTTTAAACAGTCAAATGCTCGTGATAATTAATATAATTTACATACTACACCGTAGTACTCGTATACAGCCAGTTTTAATTATGTACAAACACGAGTTATGAACTCATTAACAAAAAAAAAAATAAGTAAAATAACAAATATTAAAAATAATTAACTAAAATGTTTTTGCGTTTCGATAAGATAAAATTATTGATAAATCGACTCAACCGTTCGAATCCGATGGTCTAGTTATTTAGGTTGGTCGGAGGTGGTCGAGCAAACAGAGCTGGGTTGAACATGGCACGGGGCCATTCGACAGAGGCGGCTGTTCCGTTTTTGCCTCTATTTAACAAACCGTTGTTGAGCGAATCGAAATGTTGTTTCAATAAGAACGCAGCGGCTTGACGTTGGGCCGCAAACAACAAGTTGGAATTGATGGCGGCGGCGGCGGCACTGGGCGATATCGGGACTGCTTGTGAAACTGACGGTAAAATAGGGTTTATGTTCTTTTTCTTGCTAGGCGATCCACCGCCTGCCTCGGGACTGACTCGCTTCAGACCGTTTGCGTTTTCTGGACTGGGCCGTTTTACCAATGTCGTTTTGGGTGGACTGATGCGTTTAACGAGACCACCATTAGGAGGAGACTTTGACAAATCCAAAACTTTGTTGCCGGTCGTAGGTTTTTTTGTCACTGCTGGCAATAGCTTTGCGTACGGAGACGAGTTGATTTCGATGAGTTGAGGAATATCATCTTTAGGTCGAGAAGGCGGCGTACTCTTCCGTTTACCTAGTTCCGGTACGCTTTCCTCCGCTGTGGGTTGTTGCTTCCTCTTGATTGGATTTAATTCGGGCGCTTTTTTCGGAGCGGTCCCTTGTTCCCCCCCGGCAGGTGAATTCGGAAACGTCATGAGCTTAATAGACACGTCCGGTTGGACAACTTCACGACGTTTGGCGTCCATGTCCTGTTTGGTTGTTTCAGTCAAAAGCGAAACGCTAAGTATACCGTTTTCGGTGTCCACTCGCCTTTCCATCCTCTTACCGTTCTCTGGTTGTGCCACGGTCACTCCTTCTTCCTTGCGTTTGGCTGGTTGCATACTGTAAAGACTAGGTACCGGTTTTTTATTGATCGGTTTACCGGTTGGCTGAGGGGTGATGATACTGTTATTGCTTTCAGAGACTGGTTTGGAAGATGTGACTTTTTCAACGGGCGCTTGTTGGTGCGGTACACGCATTATTTGTAGACTAGGAGGGCAGTTAGTTTTGTCAGAACCCAAATTGGCAACTACTGCTGCCGGCTGATGAGCGGCATCGCCGGGATCACTAACTTTGGTGATCTGTAGCGAAGATTCGCAGTTGAACCGATCGTGTATACTGTCGACCGTCGGCGGTTTAGGTGTAGGTTGTAGTCTGATATCTTGACTGACGCGTAGTAAGCTTTGAGCAGCATTCAGTTCATCAGTTGAATTTTTGGAATTGACGGCTTTTTCAGCAACTGGTACGGGTGACTTTTTAGGTACCAATGCTTTCTCGGCCGCTGGTAAAATAGTCTTGTTGGGCGCCAAAAGTTTTTCCGTAATCGGCAAAGGCGATTTTTTCGGGGCCAATAGTTTTTCAGTCGATTTGACTGCGACGTCTTTGCCTGCACGAGGAGACGACACTGCGGGTTTTGCAGTATTATTATTGTTATTATTCCTCGCCTTGTTCCATTCATACGATTTACGCACCGGTATAAAGGGCGGGCGATTAGTGGGTGCCTGACTACGAATAGGTATTGTGTCCGATGGGGATCGTTTAAATGCATGCATTCCGGGGTAACCCGGCCGTACGCAAGCGTTGGGCTGAGACGATTGCGGTAGAGGCGATTGTGTTGGCGACTGCGGTTGGATGTTCGGTATTGATGTGTGCATGCCAATTTGTTGCATTTGTTGTGGAGTAGGTATAAATTTTGGAGAGGCGGTACTTGCTGTAGTGACGACAGCGTTACGGTTTTTCATAAGCAATTTAGAGATGGATAAATTAAGTTTTGATTCTCCGTTGATCGGTCTTTTCGAAGCGACTGTACTCGCCAAAGAAACCATTGGTACAGGAATAGAAGTTAGATGTTGTTGTTGATCGACAAGCTTTTCCAATTTCTTCATAGGAACATCCGAAGTGCCGTCATTGACTGCCGGCTTCTTGTCGTTTAGTACTGCTGATGATTTGTTGACATTGTTAGCTTGAACAGCAGTTGGAACTACTACTGTCGATTTGAGTTCATTAGCACAACTATTTCGAATATTATCCGAAACGTTTTCCTTCCTGGATGTGCCCTCTGGTGATATCGGAGGATTGGGTGGTACTACTGGAGGCAACGGTAAAGTCATCTCTTTAGTACTAATATTATTGCTATTATTAGTGGATTTTGATTCGTCTACTGCCGGCAACTTCAATAACTCAGGTACGGACTTCTTAGTATCTCCAGTAACACAGTTATCATTAACCGCGGGAATAGGAATAGTCGGCACTACAGGTGTCGGAATTGGCAATGCAGTAGTTATGACAGTATCGATACTGGCGACTGTATTTTTATTGTCAAGAAGTTTACGATCATTCGCTTCTGTTATGATACGGTCTTTATTTGCTACAGAAAACACTGGAACCGTCATTTGAGCATTTATCTTATAAAAAAAACGCATCGGTTCGTTCCGATTCCAAGTGTAAATGTATGCAATATCCATTAATGAGTACTCTTCAGGTAAACTCTCCCGCCTATACAGTAATTCCACCTGGAAATATACATACAAATCAGTTACTCTTACGTTATTTTTAAACCACACAATGGTTAATTTAGACAAATCAATTTATTACAATTGTTTACATCCGTGAAAATTCTCTGAAAAGATTTTTTTAATTATACAATTATAAAAAATAGATGGTCAACTTAATAAATATAAAAAAAAATATAAATTATAAATTTTATTATAAATAATAAAATTGAGACCTTTTAAATATCAAATACAGTCTAACAATTCATAAAATAGTGTATATTTTGTAAATTATAATTTTGTATAGAGAGCATTCGATGTAGAGTAATTGACTGTTAAAAATCATAATAATGTTTGTGTTAGTTTCCAAATTAAAAAAAAAAACCTTAGGATATATGAGAAAAGCATCAAATTAATTTGAAGTTAATTTTAGTAATTTCCATAAAATTGTTTATAAACTTGTTATTGATAAGTAAGAAATTATTGAAACAATATTAAAAAAACATTTAAACACATTCTTTGAATTTTATCGCATAATTAAACTAGAACACAAAGAGAGGTCATTTCTAGTCTAGGTTTTTTAAATTTTCGATAAATATTTTCCACTATTCATACTGTCTAGTCAGTTAGACGTTTTTGTTGACGTCATTCATACGATAGGGAGACGGAATGAGAGAGGGGACAGGCGGCCACACCGCGTTATGTCGAGGTAAATTGACTTCCGGCGATTGTCGAGGAAAAAAAAAAAAAAGACACTAGCAATAAGGTCGCGCAAGACAGAATTGAAAATTAAAAAAACAAATATCAACCGAGAGATATTAGCCTTCTGTTTTTCAAGTACTATTCGGAGAATAGATTATTTGATTTTTATTATTTCATATACATGATACTTACACATACATATAATAATATGTTTACAGTTTAGAAAAATAATTCTTAAAAAAAAAAACTCACCAAGTCAGAAGGTTTCAGATTATATTTCATTCGGATGAATTTCTTTAAATGTGACATTCTCACGGCAGCGGGGCATCTCAAATATCGTTTTCTGACTACACTCCTTTGTGATTTTTCTACCTACAACAACAACAAATAAGACATACATTTTAGTAATTTATAAATTAAAAATAACACAGTTTTTACGTAAGCTTAACGAATTGGTAGATCGTTAAAAGTTAGTAGACAGCAAAAGAGTGTTGGAACAAAAACAAAAGTGAACACAATTAATTTCGTTAAAGTTTATTTATCGATATTGTTTGATGAACAACTTTGTTATAAATCATTGTGTGCCCCCGTAGATGTTTACGGATAATATCGTTATGGTCAGTGTTATAAAAGCTCGTAAATATTACCATACAAATATCTCTTTAATTAATAATTTAAATTAGCTGAAAAATTTTAAGTGACCCGTAAAATTTAAATTACTCACTTTTTCAATTACACACTGCACGCCATTGTCATTTGCATTTTTCCAAATTTCTTGTTCACATTCCCTGGAAAAATCAAATAAAACATCTTGAAACAAAGTATTTTTTAGATAAAAAAAAAATTTCACTTAGTGTTAAGTAAAATTAATTAGCCACAAGTGATCAATTTTTATTGTATATCACTTAAAGTTATCGAGGTAGACGGATAAACATATATAAATTATTTGTAATATCACCAAGTAGGATACGAATCGATTCAAGGATAAAGTGAGTTTGGGTGTACTAATCAGCGCGAAAAGTAAAAATAAAATAGGCATTTCAGTTATCATAATTAATACATAGTTATATAAACCATTCATAAAAGTAAATTAATTTTTACCGCATAAGAGCACCTCGCGAGAATTAACAACGATAATTTTTATAGTAAATAATCGATATACATATATTTCTTAATTTTTCGTGGCTTTACCACCAACATAACGGCGCCGCCCACTATCTAATCATATTCATTAATATTACATTTCTATCCAACGCAGACCCTTTTTTTCATTCGTTTTACCGTTACTTATATTAAAAAAAGGTATATTTCGAAACGGGGCGGTAGCCATGGCATTAATAAGCAGCAACAGCTGCACACTACTAAATATAATGCATACATGATGCACCTACATTTTGCGTGCTGTACAACAGAGAGCAAAGAGACACCCGGTAACTGGCGGTTTACACTAAAAAGAATGAGAACCGATATGTATTATCAATATACGCGCACAATTAAATCGTAGGCATACGTTCTGGGGAGGGAGGAGAGGGGTTATAAAATTTAAGTGGCCCCTACGACGACAATCGAATTATGAAATTCCACATGTCAAAAAACACGTTCAGCGTGTACCTACTCGATAATATTACGTACGCCATGTGATCGCGGCTCATTGCCAATAGATATGAAGGGGTTCGAACGGAGCTCACACACACACACACACACACACACACATATGTATGTATTCAACGGCGTTTAAGTAACAATAAAGTTATGTTGGGGAGACGTCGGGGATGAGGGTCGAAAACAACAATGTGTGGATATATAGTGTTTGATCGAAATACAGGCGGACGGGGCGAGAATGGGCAAAGTGGAAAGGGTGTAGGAAAAGGTTCGACGGCCGTCAATCATATTTGCCGCCGAAAACAGTAGAGGGAGGAATAGCAAATAGAGAATGTACATTGCAAACGGAGTGTGTGCGCACGCGTGCAGAAGTGAAATCTCCCATTAGATTACTTTCAAATTTTTAATATAATTTTATTTCACGTGTCGTCGTCGTCCTACTTAGATAGTACAATGATCCCGGTTTTCAACGCGCTTCAAAATATTTCCATTATTTTGCTCAGTCGATCGTTCAGTAGAAATAATTTACTCAACTCATCGCACTGAACACCACTAGAGTTCATTTCTATACAGTTTCTATGCATATTTTTTTTTCTTTTTCAGTTCGAGACGGCTCTCTTTGGGACGCACGAGGCAGCAACTGGGAGATGTTAGTATGACGCTTTTCCGGACTGTCGCGCGGTTACCAAGGTGACTAGAATGCCACCGCTGGGTTTCTCTTTTCAGATCGATATCATGTATAAAAGCCGGTGTGCGAATGCCAAGTGCATTTGGGGGCCCCTCTTTGCCGCGGGCGTTTGAAGGGCAGTTGTGAAGGCGGAGCGGGGAAGAAGACCTGTGGCTTCCGGCTTGAACGACAGCAGTGGCGGAGGGGAAGAAGAAACGAGACGGAAAACTACTTGCCCCTTCAACAATTATTAAATCCCACAACCTATTCGAAATGGGTTACGTAGCGAATGGTTACAAAATAAACCAGCGTTGTGAAAAGTCACCTCCTCTCGCGTCGAAAATATTCATTAACCGGTTTTGAAATACCTATTCGAGCCGACATAAATAAATGATCTTTTACCAACTTAAAGGAAAGAAGTAGTGTTTTCGCTTAGTACTACGTGTTTTATGGCAGGCGATAAAAATCTAAGAACGCGTATTGCGTTTACTCGAGTCGTTAAAAACAATCAATGTTATGAAAAAAAAAAAAAAAAAAAAAATTGCATGTATCTTGTACTCACTTATCATAATATTCCAACGACAAGCTAATCGTCTCATCGGCCGTGTACACGATACGATCGACTGTCACGCCCCGAGCTTCAGGATGTAGGTGCATATCTACGCAAAAATAAAAATTATTAGTAAATAAAATATTATTAATTTGCAATAAACAAATGCTAATCGCATCCGTACTCACCCCTGTGCGGGTGTTTTTGATAGAATTCTTGCCTGCGTTTCATTTCCGAATGGAACAGTCCAGGCACCAACTTGTACACTATGTCCTGCAAAGCTTTGTCGGGCCTAAAAAATAAAAATAACAGTTAGGAGTTTTCATATCAAACATATAGCGGTGACATTTTCGTTTTTTATTTTAAGGGTAGATAATGTTATTTTATATATTTCACCGTTAAACAACCAGTACAAATCGCCATCTTATATCAAATATTAAAAAAAAGGATAGCGTCTCGTATAAAATGTGGGGTACAGCGAGGAGATGCCGCATTTAATAACAAAGCGGATGCGCACATTCCCATTTAGTAAACCACAATGAGAATAACGAGGGTCACTGTTCATCTCGGGCAAAGATGTAAACACTAGTGTTTATCGCAGCCGTCGCCCCATCCCGTGAAATTTGTAACTGAAATTTTCTAACATTAAATTTAATAGGGTGTACTGCAATGATAGATAGATCTTCCGTTGTAGGGCAAAATATAACTGTCTATTCAAGAAGCTGTCCTCATGAGCATACAGGAAATTTCGGTAACAACCATATCACAAAAACAGTTTTTTCATATCAAATTAATTGTGCCAAAAATATTACAGATATCGAATTGCGTACGTTTCAGTTTGAACAAGAGCCTATCCAGATATTTTTACTACATAATCGTGTAGGGTGTGCCGGATCCATATAATACTACACAAAACGACGCAAATGGTGACCTGAACATAATTCCGGAAGGACTGGCTTTTCTTATCTGAGCGCGACACTCTTTGCCCGGTAAACAATAACGCGCTATGGTTTTTTTTTTTTTCTACACTAACACACCTCGATGAGTGTAAATGTGACTTGTATTGACGACAACCGACAAATAAACCACACAACGGTCGTGGTAAAAACAATAACGAACTAAAAATAACTTTTATAAATGCCTTGTGTAGTAGTATTTACATCTGTTTCAACAAACACAAACGCGTCACCCAATCAGAATTAATTTGGTAAAGGAAAAACAGCCGTCGATTATTCAATGAAAATCTGATTTATTGTCCATTCGTCTTCGCTTTGCTATTTTAACGCGACCAGAGATTGCAACGCGAACAGCATCAATTCCTCCGTTCACACTTCAGGGGGTCGTTACACGATTCACAGCTACAACGCTCTACTGGATACAAACGTCCATTGTATTAGTGTGCCGCTAGTAATAATGCACTCGGCTATCAGATGGAAAACTTAACCGTACACAATATGCGCTGGTCGCAAATTGTTACAAGAAACGTTGCTATTCTATAGGTCTAAACGGACAAGAGGAATTCGGCAACAACATTGTGTGTGCAGTGTAAGCAATGAGAGAGAAAGGCCATTGACACGGGCGGCAATGAGGAAACTCGACTTAAACCGCTCAAGCCGGCGGCGATGATTGCACACACACGACGTCGTCGTCACCTTGCCGAATACTTTTCCTACGAGAAAACTCCCATAGGTATGTGTGCCGCCGTTTACAAGTTTCGCGATTATCAAACTAACCAATAAAAAAACTTCTCCAAAATAAATAAAATATTTACCGTCTGCTTATCTAGATACTTTCATAATGTTAAGCTTAGTGATAACATTTTATTTTTACCGTAAAGGCTATCTTTATAATTAACTTCAATAAAAATTTCACGTGTTACGCATTAACTACTTACATTTTATCAACATTTTCACATTTTATATGCATATTGTGTAAAAATGAGTCAATCGATAGTTTAAAAAATATACCGACACTTAATATCCCACCAAGTTTTCACATCTTTAATAATTTTGGATCCAGTGAATATTTTACGGTGCGTCATTACATTTGAGTAATAATTCTCGAAGTGCAATAATTGCATTAATAGAAATTTTTTGTTATTCTTTAGGCTATAACTACTATAGCCTAGAGAACAACAAAAAAATTTCTCTTTGATTATATAAAATACAAAAATTATGGGATCTTAGGATTCAAAAGAAACTTTCACAGAATTAAACGGTATTATTACAAAACGGTAATAAAATATTTACTTGAATGGCAAGTGAAATAACACTGCAACAATTTACGTTTTTTATTTTAATCTTTTTGTAAATATTTACTCGGGAAATCATCACAATATTGCCGTTCAATCAAAGACACAGAATTCCGAGCAGAATCATACGAGAGCCCAACTAAGAAGATCCAATCCCTTTTACCATTAGAACTTTTTTTCTGTCATTCGCCAGGGACCCTTCTTCCTTTTACGTTTGTCTCGCTGGCAGCGATTTCCTTTGTCTAGTTTTCCCTTCGGTATTCTCAAATACATATTGTGTTAGTTTTCTTTTCTTTTTGCGGTCAAAGTCGACTCATTCTAGCGAAGTCGATATGGTGTGAATAATAGCACATATAAAACTTTTGAAAGACAACATAACTTCAGTGGTATATAACATTTAAGCATATTAAAAATATTATTCCAGATTTATTATCATTTAAACGGGTTCCATTAATATTTTATTATCTAAAACAAACGTATTTGTGTAAAATTATGCGTTGCACAATATGAAAGTTATTTAACAGAGCAGGTACGCACGTGCTAAAAAATAAAGTTGCTGCTAACTTAATGCCAGCATGGCTTAAATTATTTTAATTTTTAATAAATATAAAATAATTGAAATTAAAATACACGGAAAAAACTTGTTTTCATTCAAGTCATACTACTTGCTCTCCTATTAATAATCTCAATTTTCAAATATCACAATGCAATGATAATTTTTTACATAACGAGTACACACACACTAATAAACTGCAGTATTGCGCCATTTCACATTTAATTTTATGATAATTATTCAATATAGATAAATTTGCACTAAAACGCATAATCAGAAGGTGGTAAACCGTACTCGGAAATTTAAAGAAGGAAATTTTATCAAAATTATATTTTTATTCGTGTAATTATATCTTAAGGAATTTTTTTTTATGAAAATAAAATTGGTGTACATAACTTTTTGATACAAAGTAGACACAACACGATAAAAAGTTTTTATCTCTCTATTTGCCTTGTATGTTTTTAGATCATATAAACATATATCGTTAATTTTTGAATAGTAAAATTATTGTTAATTAAACAAAGAAAAAAAAACATTGAAATATTATTATATTTAATTTTATTCGTGTTATCATTAAAATGTATAATAATCGAGTTACACGCGTGTTTATCTTTCGTGTTATAAGCTGAAAACGAGACGTAGTGGCAATTTTATGAAATGTTAAATTTTATGAAATTTTTATGAAATGTTAAATGATAAGTCGTTTAAACGGAAAAATAAACCACGAGTTTTTTTTTAATATTGCACCAGCTTGGATTTGATTATGATTGATTTTGCCATGGACAACAACAAAATCAGTTTAATAATCATTACGAAGCACACGCATGACACACGCGCCATGTTGTAATAGAAACGTCACCCCCTTTTTTCGTTTAGATATTATATAATAACAATTACGTGTATAAGTTAACGGTATACACGACGTATATTTTCATGCTGCAAATTAATAGGGAGCAGCGAGAGAGCGAGAAAATATGTCAAAAGGGATGTGACGATTCGCTGGAGGGAAAGTACAAGCAAAATCAATTATAATAAGCTTACTTGAGTGCTTTGCTGTTTTGGATCTGTTCCTGACATATCGGACAATAGCTTTTCTTATCCAAGTGCAACACTATGCAGCTACGGCAAACTGTAACAAAAATCAGAAAGAAAAACATTAGTAAAGCTATTTACATCCAAGCATTTTTTGTTTTATGTTAGCTTAAAGCGTCCAAAACGAAAAAACTTCACTCATTAGCATATTATGATCTTTGGGGCGATGAACAGAAATATATATGGTAATAGACCGCACACCATTTCCTGGTACATTTGAATGTCAACAATAAAGGCAGTTTTTTTTTTCATTCTATCGTCTAAGATGCCAAGAAAATTATAATAATAGAGGTCTTAATGTAACGGAATAAATCGACTGCTGATTAACTCGTGTACAAGTAATGATTAGTAAAAAATACAGTAGCAGCGCATTGGGCCTCATCAATGATGCTCACGATCAAACTAACTAAATTAAGTTTAACTGTTATTATTAACGTGCCAGCGAATGGGATAAATATTTTTATATATATATAGTTGAAATTATCACTATTGGTATTAAATCGTCATGGGCGATAGAGACTTTTCCCGGTCAGCTGCTGCTATTAAGACGTCGTCAAACACAAAATGCATCAAAATAATCCTTTACCATTTTAGTTGATTATTGCAATGTCAAACATGCAGAGGAGTTCATTGCCTCGAGTAGAGATATCGAACCGAGCGCTCATTACCTTTTTATTTCTAATTAAATTTTTTTTAATCATATCAAAAATTGAATATTAGTGTTATTCCCAAAATTAAATTATACAAAATAAATTGAGATATTGTTCATTCGTAGAAAAGGCCCAATATGTCAAATAATACAACCCTTACTTCAACATTAACTATAAATACTCATCACCTATCGAATATTTTTTTTCCAGTCATGTAAAATATACTCATTTTCAATGTTGTCATATTACATAAAAACAATCGATTAGCGCAAGAAAACAATAAGAATTTCTGGCATTAATAAGAATGCTGACAAATAGTTCAAGTTAAGCATGCGAGATTAAAACATAATTTCAAAATAGAGCCGAGTTTACGATTAAAAACATTACCCCTCTTTTATCTATGTAAAATATATATATAAAATAACACAAAAAAAAAAAATTATAAATAAATTTTCCCTATAAAAACCACGTTTTACAAGTGTACATTATATTTCATTATTGTTATAAGCATAATAGTTAAAAATATAAAAAATTATTTTATATAATATTTGCATCTACCGCCTAGTTAACCTAGAAAATTATGAGACAGCAGCAGCTACCATCATGAGAATATTAACACGAGATATTGTATTTTGCAAACGGCTGACACATTACAACTCGTGTAATTTTTTAAACTAGACGGCCAATCGATCGAGTTCAACCTTCAAAAATATAACTCGAGTGTCATCAGCTATTAATTTTTCAGTAGAGTTGAATCTAAAAATCTTCGTCGCGCAACAAAAACGAGCATCGCGGGGGAGATCTAAAAATGAAACTTCAAGGGCGGCGTTGTAATCCTCAACCGTGTAACATCCGTTAAGGATTACTTTCCCTCCCCTCCGTTGTTGTAAAGGATCATCATCGTTGGTCGTGATGAGCGGCGGTACAATATTTTCAACATCCCTCCGACGGCGTCCAATTAGAGGTCCACTACCCGCTGGCGGACATGGTAGCGACGGAGACGCTCCCACATTGCCCCCGGGACGACAAGAAGTGCGAGAGCATTATCGCAGTAGTACGGGACAGACGCCGCCGCCGCGTAGGTCCTTGTGACGGATTTACGAGCCGTAGGTTAGTACACGGTGGCGGCGGCGGCGGCGGCAGCATTACAGAATAGCCGCAGCAATGAGTAGTGGGGAGAAGAAGTGTATACGGCGGCGGTGCACAGACGAAACGTCACACAGATGGTTTTTGTTGTTGTGTTTTCCTCGGTGCGCCGTTGTCGTTTTGCCCATCAAAACACGCCGGCACAACGGCAACGTCGTGCGTTCGCACACACAAACACCACCGCCCATGCTTGAACACACACAGCGTCGCAACAACTCCGTAACACGAGCCGCCCGATCAAACATACCGCACAGTCGTTGCCGAGCGGCAATCAATCACACGTTCACGCGACCGGTCGCATCAGCGGTGGCAGCACGTCGTGCGTGCAGTGCCCAAACCGACCACCGGTGCAACACCACTTTTTTTTTTTTTTTTTTTTTTTTTTTTTTTTTTTTTTTTTTTTTTTTTTTTTTTTTTTTTTTTTTTTTTTTTTTTTTTTTTTTTTTTTTTTTTNTTTTTTTTTTTTTTTTTATCGTCCGAACTGCTAAATTTTCTCTTCACACTATCGCGGAGCGTAACGAACGGCATAAAATTTATATTAATATTTAATATTAATTAAAATTTTATAAAAAAAAAAAAAAACTAAACTAGTGCTGGAAATAGTTATGCAAATTTAATTAGGCATATTAGGAATGGTAATAATTAACGTGGCGTTGACCCGATTTTTCTATACGCACGCGGCGTGTTTAAAGTATTTTTCGGCTATACGCACTAAATATTTTCTCACACGGTATTCGATAAAAAAAAATATGCACGTCGTGTACCGAATTCGTTTAACATACACTGTTGTGTCGCGGGAACTATTCAAATCCCGACCAATAGAGTAAACACCACAGTGTGCACAACACTTACATGAATAAATTTTATTACTCTACACTCTCGTCTATAGCTACTAGAATATAACGTTTTTCATTGTTTTAAGTTTTTCAAATCAATGTGTGACGTTTCATTGAAAATACGGCGAGGACACACTTTGACACGTAGAAAGCGCGTCCTCGACAAATAATGTCCCCTACTGTCATCATGCCATGCAACTGAAGTCGTCATACTAGTTTTGTCGGTTGCATTTTTCAATAGACAATAACTACTCGAATCCACTATAGTTGTGATCAATTAAAAAAAAATCATTTAATAAATATAATTTATTGAATTTAGTACTCACAGGAATGGAGACACTCCACGATTGAGGTAGCGTCTACAAAATATCCATGGCATAAGACGCATACCAGATGGGGGTTAACGTCGGTGAGTTTCACTCGACCTTTGGGCGGTACGCAGGACTGAAGAGCCGACATGTTGCGAATATTCTTATCTGTAAATAAAACATCATAATAATAAATTACACGTTTCATAAATCAATCGCGTGGGATAGGAATGCAAGTACATATATGATTCCGTGTGCGAGTTTCCTCCTCTTGCGTGCGTTCAGACCGAAGGGACTCGAGTACTCTGCACACGGGGCGGTCGAGATAATAATAAAGGCGGCGGTAGGCGGCAGGAGGAGGGTGGACGGACAGAGAAAGATGAAAAGAAAAACTCGGGCGTTTTCTATCAGGTAAACCTCCTTATGGCACCAAGGGCAAACAAAACAGATTGGGAAAAGTTGGCGATCGTATACGACTGAAGGGTCAAACGGCTGTACCGTATTGGGGGAGAAAAAAGGTATAACATGTATATGTGTAGTATTAGTATAGCACTACGTTTGTGCGCGCATTACTTCGACGAGGTAAAAAAAGAAAAAGGGTAAAGGGACGGAATTTTCAATATTCTCTCGTTATTCAATAAGTGATGAATTAAATTAAAACTACTAGAGATATATTTGGACATGGACGTATAATAAATTACGCGATTACAAGTAGTAAATATTTTTTTTTCAGACATCTTATAAATACGGAAAATCGTTTCGGGCGACCTTTAAACTAGCAACTTAATTTAGTCGGCGGCAACACTTACGCAGTAGCTAATCTACTATAAATAAAAATATATTGAACCATTTTACGATTGTCTTTGTTTATCATGTACGTCTACCGTGTTTATTATGTACGTTATTTTTGAACGTTACATTTTTATGTGTTATCAACGAGGATTACTCGTGATGAACGAACATCGGATAACGGTAAGTAGTAACCGATTTAGTATTATTACCGAGGGAAAAATTTTAACTAAAGAGCGGGAAAGAGAGAGGAGAGGTTTTCTTCGCGGCAGAAAATCGGCCAGAGTGATATTATTATCAGACCGAATAAAAACCGGTTTACTCACGATGCTCGAAATTCTGTACGTAGTAACGTTACTACTATTTCGTTATTTCTTTTAAGCGGCTGTAAAAAGTCGAAAATATTTTTCTATTATATTTTTTTCACGCGATATAAACGCACATGATTTACGACGCATTGTTGTTGTTCATGGCGGTTTTCGACAATTGTGACTGGGCACGCCATGTGTGTGCATCGATACGTTGCACAAGTCCATTACGATTCCGCGAAAAAGGCCAGTTTTTCAATGTCGTCACATGCCGCCCCCGACCGGAATTCGAATAATACTGGATGCCGTACAGGACATCATTGCGATTAGCTGAGTCTTTTCACGTGATGTGAACTCGAAATGCAATGGTGTATTAACGGAAAATTTGACCACTGTCAATAGAAATTCGATCACAACGAATCTTTCTCGTTGTCATGTGAAAAGGGGTAGAGGAACTACACATTCCCGTACCGCGAAATTCCTATTATTTCATCCCGAGTTACATACGTGCGCAGTAATAGTGATCCTCCGCCGACATGTGCGCGCGCTAGTTTTTTATTTTTTTTTTTATTTTTATAAATCGTCCATTGTTGAGTGACGAAATTTCCAAATGCGATTTTCCTCTACGTGAGCGCCGCCGCCGCCGCCGACAGCACAAGCAGCTGCAGCTGCTTTTATTCCCTCCGATCACCGCACGCATTTCGATACACACCTCCTCCTCCTCCTCTCTACCACAGCCGGCTCGAACCCAACGTGTCGGTATACGTGTATCTCACGTGTATAAAAAAAAATAGGGGCTCTTTTGTTTATCTCATATATACAAAATGAGTACGCCTGTAAATTCCGGAACGGGAAGCGTAGAAACCTCAATGTAAATGCATACAGGCGCTTATATCAAACAAGACGGAGCCCGTGTGCCGTAGAAAATATATATATTATGCAACAACATAATATATAGAGGGATCGTACGGCTAAATGCGTGCGCTGCGACAGAGTGGGATGTGTGTATTATAAGCACGGGAAACCGGTTGTTTTTAGGACCCCGAAGAATGCTCATAACACATACTTGGTCGGAGGGGGGGACTCGTAATATTAATATATGTATACAATAAAAAATGTTCGTAGCACGAAATTGAGATGAAATAACGTGAAAAAAGCAAATTGAACGCAATGTTAAGCAACGCCTTCGTTAAAATAACATTTACTGGGTAAATTTCAATCTGAACGACAAGGATTAATCAATGATTTACGCCACCCTGCGTGTGGTCAGCTATAAAAAAAGTGTCAAAATACCTTACATGTTAAAACAATTTATGGCCATTATTGCACATTAACTTTGGCATACTACCATTAAGTAAAACCGACAAAAATTCTGGTTTTTAAGAGCTGTGTACATTCAGATGTTATTCGATAGTAAACAATTCTGGTCACTCCGTGTTGTATTTTAATGACGCGACAGCTTTTTGTACGACGACGAGACTGATGAAAAACCCATCAGACTTCTCATTGGTTACCCTCCCCCAAACAGCCTACACAATTTTTACCTAGCTTAGCAATTATCAATTATTTCCACTTGCGCAAATATGATGCAATTATGATTCTTCCCCTTCTCATACTCACTTCTGTGGGTCGGAAAAACGAGTAGTTTCACGAGGTTCGCCATGCATCTAACCGAGGGAAGTATATAGTATGAGGGTTCACTTTATAACATGAGCATACGTGTTGTTATGAAAATATTGTATTGCGTCCATCATTTTTTAAAAGTAGAAGAAGAAATCATTACTATCGATAATCTTTTACATACATTCACTTAAAAATCCATATGTGTATATTTTGAATTGTTTTTGAAAATAGATACTTTGGATGCGCGTATGTCAAACAAAGATCTAGTAAAAATAAAAAAAACCGTTTAGAATTTTGTACACCGATACTCAATAGGCCACAAAAAATCAGTAATAAAAAATGTGAATGAAAAATACAATACATTATAATAATAGAAAATATCAGGTCGGCCGTGAACAATACAATAGTGTATGAAAAAAATCTAGAGGGGATAACGGGCAACAAAAAAAAAAAAAAATAGGGTAACAACGGGGGAAACGGGGGAGAGAAATAAGAAAAAGGGGATATATAAATTGGTCTTCATTGAATGGATACTGACGGGTATAGAATAGGCAGGGTGAGAGCGCGCGGGGAAGGAAACCCATGGGCACGACAGTCGGGTTTGTGTGTGTGTGGATAATAACGGGTGACGGACGACGGTGCGTGCGAGAGCGACCGGGTGTGAAGAATGGGAAAGGTGTGGAGGGGTAGGGGCAGCAGTGGAGGCATTATGTTACGCGGCAATGTCGGGGTTTCACATGGGCTGCGCACAACACAAACGCTCATATACACATACACACGACAACGAAATCCAAAACATAGAGGGGAACCGCCGTACCGCTGAGTGCGACGTTGCCGCCTCATGCGCACACGGATTTTCACTATTGAAATAGACCACTGCTGCCTGTGAACGACTATAGTCAACAAAATATTTTCTGCTTTTATCAACACATTTACAATACGAGCCATTTGCACAAATAGTCTAATTAAAATATTTAATTTTTCTGACTTACCAAAGTATTAACGGTCGTTCATAACAAGCACTCGTACGCACTACACGCGGCCGTGCACATTGATAACTACGATAATGTTTCTAGAGTTATCACTTTCACGATAAATCGACGGCGCGGCAAAACGACAGTACAGATTTCATTTCGAAAATTAACTACTCCGCACACGAAACTGTCGGCGAACACACACAGCTGACGCCGGCAAACTGAAATGCACTTGACGGGAAAAGGCAAAAAACGCGAACGACACGAGCGGCACCGGGCTAGAGACTGACGCAGGCTGCCGCCGAACCAGACCGACGCGGCGACGGCTGGGAAACGGGTCCCGGCTACTGGGGCTGAAAGGAAGGGGTCAATCGCGTCTCATTGGATGCCGGCTTCAGCGCCCCGCCTGGACAGCTCGTCGGTATTGGCTCAGTGACGTCATCGACCGATGAACGTGGTTGTTAATACGGTGGGGGTTCACCAAAGCCGTTGGGATTTTCGCCCCACACCATTTATACTCGGCGTACAGCTGACATCCCTACCATTCTATCGATTATTGTAACGTTGTTATTATTTTTAATAGTCCATCGGTGAATGTATCCTAAAATAATGAATAAAAAATCGGCTTTTCATGACAGTACTTACCGGAGAACAGTATTAATAAGTGATAAAGGTACAACACATCGATTTGGTCGTACCGCGTTATTTAAAAATTGATGAGTTGTACTATTTTATGAAATGGCGACATTAAAACTGACCCATCTTATTCATAAGAATTAAAGTTATTTCACATGGTCCCTCGTCAATTTACATTACTTTCACAAAATGCTGAGTTATAATAAAAAAATTTTGAAATGCTTTTAATAAGACGCAACTGATTAAACTGAAGTTTGCGTAATGAACTCCGAGTAGAAGTGCTAGGCTTAAAAAATAACTAATCATTCACTAATAAAGTAATACTAGTAGAACACAATAAAATTCTGAGATAAATTTTTTTTTTAATCTATCGAGACATGAATATGTTAACAGAATTCGATGCTTATTTTAATAGACAATCAATATAATGGGAATAACTATAAGCTCGCATTGGAAAATTATCTGGTTAAAAAGATACATACAAACTTAAAGCGAGGAGGGACATATAATTTACATCCTAAGAGTTATTAAATTTAATCACATAAAATTATTACAAGATTTTTTTAGACAAGTAATTATTTTATTAACCGTTAATCAAAGTTACACTATTACTTTCTAAAGAGAATTATATGTATTGTTTATAATATTCTTACAAGTTTTACAAATAAAATTCGACTTGCATATGTTTTTTATGTTGTAATATTTTTATGAATTGAAGAATCCTGAAGGAAAAAGTACTAATTACACCAATTAAAATTTTCAATGTAAGACATGTATTAAGTACCAATTGATCAATGATAAACACTATATCGTATATAAAATCTTTCCTGTGAGATACACGTAAAATAAATGTACCCTTTAAAGAAAAAAGTATATATAACGTGTCATTTTTACTTATATTTTTGACTTATGTTGTACTATCACAATTTTTAAGGTGGACCGTTGGGTTATGTCTATAATGTTTGTTATTTTTCTTTAATCATACAAAAGAATGCGCAAGTGAACGTTTTTTGACATAACAGTATTAACAACTCACTATTTCTGTCACTGACCGCTATATAAGGCAAGCAGGGAAAATAAATATCTTAAAAGTGTCAAACCTCTTGCTTTTTGGGGAGGCCGGTTTGGTCCCCCAACCACCGAAAGCAACGGTACAGAAAGATTTGGGCCCACTTTTTTGACACTACAGGTCAACAACTCATTATTTTGCAAATTACTAGTTTATAAAGCAAAAGGGGAGAATAAATACAATAAAAAACGAATTGTTATTGGCTTTGATCCCTCCCCAAAAGATTGACTATTATCAGTTTAAAATCGCCGTTAGATAAATGTTGGCTCTTCTTCATTCTTTCTGTCATTGCCCGTGTTTGAGTGGAAACGTATTTCTTTTTGTTTTAGCCTTCATTGTTATATACATTTGACAATAGAGCCGTCAACTGTGAAAGGCCAGGTCTTTTCGGCGAAACAAACAGTTTTATTTAACTATATTTATGTAATGAGCTGTGTTTTAATTAATTATTTTTATTTTAATACAAACTAATTTTTTTTTTTACGCGTGGAGAACACGTGTACATATACATATAGAATATTATTAGCGTAACAGTATTATTGGAGGCTAAATTATTATAATTTCCAGACCAATGTTTTTTGTTTTGACGTTCAAAATAGTCAAGCTGTAAAAAAAATTTTGAAGGGTTTTTGTCATTATTGATTTATTATTTTTACAGCGCACAATTCTGCTATACTTTTTGTGACCCCTTAGCTGCTAGTTAACCAGTAAAACAAATCAAAAAGTACTAAATATATATGAGCACACCAGTAACATAAAGAGTTATATCAGTATAATAGATATTTTAATCTATAAAACTACTGTTAGTTTTGTTTTACGGGTTTTGAACTAATAATACCCTTTTTTATTATACAATGCATTTTATCCATAAAAATTAAAACAAAATAGCATTCAGTTTACTATACTAAACTGAATTTCTCATTTATGAACGCATGTCAATTGTTCATAAGATTTTGTTATTTCACCGAATTTGCTTAACAGGTTTTTTCTTTTTAATACCAAGCTTTATTCTGTAATAAATCATAAAAATATGCATTCTCGACGTAGTTTTATCGCCACTAACGCCTCCGTTACACAGTCTTAGTGCGCTATAATGACATCCGGTTACTTCATATCATTTCAACAAAATGTTTTATTATCTATCGAAAATAAAATTAAAAATGGGTTGGTCACATGGGTTTGACGTTATTTTTATTTTACCCACACTATATGAAATAATTTGAACATTCCTATTCTGATAGGCGTAAATAAGTTAAAGAAGGCATTTGAATATTAGTTACATTTACAAACAAATAGTAACATTTTGACATAAATAAACCAAAACTTGTATAAAAATCAAATAATTTTATTACTAAAGTATTAAAAATGTCTTCTAAATCGCATCTGTTATTTCAGATACAGGTATGTATGGAAAAATATATCAACATGACTAAATTGTTTCATAAACCGTATTATAGACAATTCATAATGAATCGCCATTAAAATGATTTAATAAAGTCATTATCATGGCTATATTCTAATTGAATTACTATAAGCATTTTGAAAAACAATATAATTAACTTCAAATTTATGGTAAAAGTTCGAAAATAAACTTATTAGATGTAAAAATTGGATAAACGTTTTGGTAAATTAAATGGTGTATTAGAAATAAGAGCATTAATTTTTTTTAGCCGAAAATTTTTAACTGGATAATTTAATGCAATTTTTTATTTAGCCATTGTATTAATCTTTTGAAATAGATATTTATTAATATTTTTTTTAATATGGAACATGGAAACCACCCAATGGTGACGAATCATCAAACAAACACGGGCATGGATCCATTGAAAAAACCAAATCGACCTCCTGCTGCAAAGACCGCTGGTTCTGACCTCCTCATCAAAATGTGTGCGATTCCAATCCGCCGATCTCCCGCGCCGTGACAGTGTACAATAGTTAGCATACGACGGATGCGGTTGTGTGGCATACTAATTCCATTTACCGGCCCGTCGCCGGCTGCGTCAGTATAGTTACTGGTCAGCGTTTGTATTTAGTCTATTAACTTAAACTTATTTAAGAAGCACTATTTAGTAAATTGTTCATATTTCTGAGAAAATTATCTGTTAGTTTAATGCAACTATTTCGTTCCTATGGTTTTAGTATTTCATTACAAATCGTTTGTATAATGATAAAAGGTCAAAGAAAAAATACAATAATGTATATGTAATACATATGCATATGGTCTAATCTGCCTAGTTGACATTTTTAAACAACAAAATTGTTTTATCGTGTCATGCCATTTGCGGAAAGTAAATTCAAAAATTAGTATACAATTCAATGTAATAATTTTTTATATAATTACTAAATAAATAGTATTTGAGAAGTTTATCCCAAATAATATGGAGAAATTATATTTTATTGACATGTATCCAAGGAAAAAGAATTTGGTTACATATAAAATCACACGTCTGATTGCAATGAGATGAAATAATAGTTATAAGAAAAATATACTTTTGTAAATTATATGTATAATATGCAATGATTGAAAATAGCGCATTACTTATAGTAGCGATACTGAAAAAGTAGTATCCAAAAAAGTACAACAAGATTAATTTACAAAAACAATAGTAAACTATAAAAAAATTAGCTCTTTGCCACTTTTTTTGTAGTTATATCGGGAGCTTATTACTTTTCTTAGAGCTTGCGTTTTTAATAGCACCAATAAAATGATTATAGTTTTCCAAGATGGAAAATACATCGCTGCTCATTACTATTCATCATAATAGTTTATATTTCAGGTAAAGTTAGTAAGTAAAGTGGTTGGATGTAATTGGGTGTCATATGATTTGCATATAGATTACGTAGATAATCGTGTAAAGTGGAAAATTTAGGATATCGGTCGCTGACCCCAAGTAGTAGAAATTAAGGTGAGATGAAGAGAAAGAGGTAAACATTATCATAACAATGGTAATCATTATTTTTAATATATTTGCAGAAGACACAATCTCAAAACTCAATACTCAATACTCAAAACACAGCCAAAAGTAATATTAAATTAATCATAAATATTACGATGATCTAAATAATTTTAATAGAAGATAATGATAGAAATTAAATTTAAAGAAATGCATAATAAGATAAGATATAACAAATTTCACGTCCGTTTAGACTTATCTTTGTAATAAATCCTACTTATACATCTTTTAGATTTATCTTCTTTTATAATGTTAGATTTATATAATTTACATTTAATATTAATGAATATTTTTAGGTTTTGTTTATTCCATACATGCTAAGTAAAGAAACATAATCATAAGTTTCATCTTATAGGAGTTGCAACATTCTAACTTTTTCAGGAGAGTAGGCCAAGATTTTTAAAGAAGATTTAGATAAGAATATATTAAATAAAAACTCTTAAATAAAAATATTAAAAAATATATTTTTAGTTTTCATTTATCAGTTTAATAGTATATAATATTTGAGTACAGTTTTTGGGTAAAATCTATACATGTGTTTTTATATCAATACCCTAATTAACAATAAATATTAGTCTGATATTTTATAAATAAGTATAATGTTATTAACATTTGTTAGTAAAATTATACTCAGTATGTATAACATTAAAAGTTAACAACATGGGGCACAAGGAGCAGCACAACCTAGGGTAGCAGCGGATAGAAGACTCAACAAGTCATTGGGTGACAAAGATAGGGTAGCTGGAAATGGTGAGGTGCAAAGAGCTGGTTGGCAAGCAGGAACACAATCGGTAAAACAAGAAGGAGCATATTCAGTAGCACAAGGTGTAGCGCAAGAAGTAGCACACGGTTGACAAGCTGCACTTAATAAAGCAATTAATAATGCTGGAGGAATGGTTGGTGTATTTGTTGCAAAAGATACTGGAGGCAAAGCGATTGGAGAGCCACTTGCTAAAAGCAATTGGAGTTCTGCTGGCAGGTTAGCAGGGAGTGCTGGAGCTGGTGTTGGGGAGCATGGGGCTGGTGCTGGTGCTGGTGCTGGTGCTGGTGCTGGTGCTGGTGCTGGTGCTGGGGCTGGGGCTGGGGCTGGAGCTGGGGAGCAAGGAGCTGGTGCTGGTGTTGGTGCTGGGGCTGGTGCTGGAGCTGGGGAGCAAGGAGCTGGTGCTGGTGCTGGAGCTGATTCGCATGGAGCTGGCACTGGGAAAGGAATAGAAACTGGTAGTGGGCCATTCTTAAGAAGTGGATATAACAATTTGGCAAGTAATAAAGGTGAATATTTTATTGGTTTTTGCAGTTTAGATTCAAGACAGCAATCGAGTGATGAATCATCATAATAAGATTTTAAAACGGGTACTGGAATTGTGCATTTGTACGGTTTGCATAATGGTTTTGGGAAAAGGCATTCTGAAGATAGACAAGCCGAAGAGGCGTACACCTAAACAATAGATCATAGATTATCAGTTTGATAATTACAAAAAATGTGAACATAAGATTTGTTATAAAAATTGTCTATTAATAACTATCATTAGAAATAACTATTGTTGCTTTGATTAAACGTTGAATTATTCATAACGTACCTGAATGGCAATGAAAGCTATAACAAAACCGAAGGAATTCATGATGAACGATTGATGATATTTCGGTAGCGACAATAGTTTATATACTTCAGAAAATTCGCTAGTGTTTTGACGTATCGTCACGGACTAAGCATCTTCATCTTACGATTAAGCCATATCGGCTCGATAATAACTCGTGTTCAATAATAATAATTTACATTACACAATATTAGGTATCATACAACGCACGTTTGTGTGCGAACTTCCGACATAATACGACAACGATCAATTTATTAGCATTTCGAGTCGGTACAGTTTTGTGCAATTGCTGTAATCAACAGTGCAACGGAAAACGTATCGTTCTTTCGCTGCATGCGTATTATGTTTATATAATTTACAAACTATGTTGTAGGTACACCTACCTATTGAGACTACAGTGCTTGTACATCGAGTCGATTTCTCCTTGGAATGTGGTATTAACAACGTTGTCTCGTATGCATTATAGAATGTGTGTTAACAGCAAACGCGCTATGACGGCGAACCGATTTACTTTTTTCTTACTATCATAGCGTTTCGTACAGTCCACTGCAGTAAATCACCACCAAGTAGGTCGCTTGGAATTCTACGAAACATTAACGCTGTCCACTCGATCCATGACAGTTATTGGCTTTTATTTTGTTAGAAACCGTATAAGTGATCTATTGATAGTTTCTCTGCGTACTATTTTAGCATACGGTGAAAAATCAAAAGAAATAAAAATGTCTAATTAGCGTTTGGAGTGTTTTGACTGGCGATGGATTGAATTACGGAAGCAGAGTGTCGAATTTCTATAGCTAAGCTTTTATATTTGACACATAAATCAAGAGTGAAAAACTATAGATAAGACATAGGAAAATTGAATCCACATAAATTTAATTAAAATTACTGTTAAATATATGTATTTATGTGTTTTTTGTACGTGATAAGTTTTTAAACAATTAATACAAAATCTGTTAATAATATTTGAAAAATATCTTGCTTAACAATTATACAACAGTTATTGAATATAATAAAATAAAATTTTATTTAGGGAAAGAAAAAAAATATCATGTGTATAAATCGCCAAGACCTAGTTTTAAATCACATTGATAAATAATTTTATTAAACACAAACTGATACTAAGAATATTTTTTATAATCATAGTAATATCATAAGCTTATACATTTTTTTTAATCAATTATACCACATCAAATCCATTTGTTAAAAATTCGACTAATTTTTCTGTTAAATTTTATTCTCCAAACCAACATTTTATACTTATGTAATTTAATAGTAATTTATAACGAATTAAACGATTTTTCTAAACGTTCTTACTGATCGTTTCTAAAAAAAATTAAAAATGACAAAGTTTATTTAAGAAATAGAAGCAGGCACGTAAAAAGTATTTTATTTCAGGGGTTAAACATTTTTTTTCTATGCTATAAAAATTAGAGATTTTAGTAGTGGCATAAACAACTAGAGAAAAAATTCAAGAATTACTAACATTGTGTAAGGATCACAAAGCCGTTGTGAACATGAGTCCCTTACAACCCAATCCACCAGATTAATATAGATAGCCGTATAACTGAACTAACAATTATAGTTAATCGTGTGATATAATATTGAACACAGTACGCGCAAAATAACGATTTGATTTGTTATAATAGTAATATAATGCAAAAAAACAAATTGTAAATTTTTATAAATAAAAGTACTTTTTTGAAGCTATAGGTATAAAAATTTAGGGAAGGTACTAGAGCGTAGGGTTGTGCTACTGTATATATTACAAGAAATGATAATCATACTGAAAACACATAACTGTAGTAAAAACAAGATAAACGTATATCATTTGTATACATTTGTAATATTTGTGATAAGTCTTTTTTTTTTTTTATTTTAAGTGTAAGATAAAATTGTGATTTTTATTTCTACATCATTTTATGTGTGAGAAATAAACATTGGAATAGCATAAAGCTAAAAATGAGCGCAAGGTTTAGTTAGACCATAATACATCTAAATCCCACTTAAACTTCAATGCAAAAGTAAAATTTACTTTTTTATTTGATTGTTAATTTTTATTTTCTGCATACAATTGTAAATAAAAATAAAAAATTTCTAGCAAACATTATTTTTTTTACATTACTCTAGAATTTGACCCAATTTTACAAAAATTAATATATTTACTCAATAATCATAATATTAATTGAAAAATGTAGGCACATCTGTGCAACTTAAACTTTAATTCAATCTAACCTGATATCTAATAAAAAATATAATTTTACAGATTTATTATCGATTATAAAAGTTAAATTTAATAAAAACGTTTAGACTTATTACTTATTTGTAAGCAATTAAGAATATCTTGTGAAATAATTTTTCTGACAACTTTTAGCAAATATAGATGAAAAATTGTTAAAATACTGCAACTTCTTACAACCATTATATAATTTATTGTTACTAGATATTATATTTTCTATAGGAAAATAAAGAAATTTTATTACTTAAGTTATGTTTATAGAAATACACCATTAAGGATAATTATTTATATTAATATTACGTTTAGTTTTAATGATCTGGAAAAATGATTTACATGCTATCAAATAATAATAATAATATAATAAAAATTGATCACTTGTGGCTAGTTAATTAAGTAAAATTAAAACTATATTAAAAATATTATTAATTTAAAAAAACTAAAAAATATTAAAAATATTAAACTCAAAAGCCACAAAAAAATTAATGAAAAGTCGCGTATACGTATTTCGGAAACAATGTTACCATTATCAACGCTAAACACATACTGACACCCCGACTAGAAAAAACTCCCTTATATACCCCTAGTGACCTTATCACCTAGTGACGTTATCACTAAGTAATATTATCACATTTTGCCAGTTTACACAAGTTTAATAATGAATTTTTCAGTGGGCCAAGATCCCAATTAATTAAATTGTTTTTATTTTTAAACATTTCTATTGCTTCTCTGATATTAAGTTCTTTGTAATTATTTACGTTTTTAATTAGTTTTATGGTTTTAATAGAGTGATTATGTGTCAATAAATGTTCAGCCACTGGAGATTTCTCAATTTCTTGATTTTTAATATTTCTTAAGTGCTCTTTAAACCTGACCCCTATATTTCTTTTTGTTTGTCCTACGTAACATTTATTACAACTTTCACATTGTATTTTATAAATGCCTGATTTCCCCCCTTCATCTACCTTATCTTTAGGGTTACCTAATAAATCTCTTAAATTATTACTCTTAGATGTTACCAAAGTAATACCAAAATTCTTAAATATTTTAGTTAATCCATTTGAGATGCCCGGATAAAATAAAATTGGTGATCTAATTACTTTTTGTTCCCCCTCGCTGGAGAGTGTACTAGCTGCCCTCCTTTCTTTTTTCCACTTTTGTTTTCGGACTAATTTCAAAATTATGTTTTCGTTATACCCATTAAATTTAGCTATTTCTTTTATAACCACCAATTCTTTATCATAATCTATTTTATTCATCGGAATATTAATTAATCTGTAAACCATACTATTAAAAGCTGACAATTTGTGTTGCCAGGTGTGGTTCGATGTGTTCGGAATGTATCTGAACGTGTGTGTGTTTTTCCGATAAATTTCAAAATTTAGTTCCCCCTCTGTTCTTTTAACTAATAAATCCAAAAAAGGCAATTTTCCCTCTATTTCTTGTTCATATGTAAATTTAATCGATGGGTAAAAAGAATTTAAATGTTGTATGAAAACCCCCATATTAAAATCTTTATTTATAACTGCAAAAATATCATCGACATACCTAACCCAAATTTTTGGAAAATCACCATAAGTGTATTTTAAATTTGTTTCAAACCTACTCATAAAAAGTTCTGCTAAAAATGGTGATAGNAATCACCATAAGTGTATTTTAAATTTTTTGTGGCTTTTAAGTTTAATATTTTTTAGTTTTTTTAAATTAATAATATTTTTAATATAGTTTTAATTTTACTTAATAATAATAATGTTTATTTTTTGTATTATAAACCGCATACATCTAGTTAAACGATAATTATATAAAATCTACCGAAAAAAAAATTAAATACCGCCGAAAGAGACTAAATTACACATTTTAATGCAATTAAGTTATACAAATAAATTATTTTAAAGTTACAAATGAAATATTAATTATAAAAAATTTAAACATCAGAGGTGGCACCAAGGGTGTGTGAGTTGTGTCCCGTCTGATACGTGTATTTTATTATATTATATTATACTGAATGAAGATTAAAGATAATTTTACCTATTCAACATTTTAATAATGTCCTACTCAGAAGATCGAACCTTCAACGTCCAACTACCACTTTTCAAAAATAAGTTTCATTCATGTCGGTTTTCTCCTAAGTATAACTTGATATAACTTATATAAGGTATAAGTTGATATAACTCCAATTTTCTACATAATATTCACCTCAAATTTACTAATGACACTCCAAACATAAATTAGGACATATGCAGGAAACACCACAATCTTAACATCACTAAAATCCTGATCAATAACAGCAAGACAATACTTACAGGAACACCTTGACACTCTTGAAATATGGTTAAAAAATTAGAAAATTATAGTAAATAAAATTAAATCAGTACATGTCACATTTAAAATATACATTCTAAATTCTTCTCCCGTTTTAATAAATAATGTTCACATTCCTCCATCATATCGAATAAAATTTTTGGATTTGATATTTGACAAACATTTAACTTGGTCTCAACACTCAACGCAGAAAAGCGCAAAACGCTAAACTTCCGTCTAAATATTCAAAGACTATTTCTTTGGTCCATTTCATTACTCCACAAAAATTAAACAAATGATAATTTTATGCATTTTGGAGAAGGTAGTAATAAATGTCTTATGCATATTCCCCAAGACAAAACCTTGAGAGCACCTTTGATGGTCAATGAATGAAATGCTAATAATGACCTTGATTAATTTTGTGCGTTTAAAGTTACTTATATTTATTTTCAATATCAAATAATGGCAGTACAAATGTACAATCGCGTCAGCGTTTCATGCTAACTGTTTACTTTTTAAATTCATCAATTCATAAGTAGATAGTGTAAACACAGCTAATAAACAAGAATAAAGCGTACGATTATACACCAGGAAAATCATCCGTTTAGTAACTTATCTTATAATGCAGGAAATTTAAATATTACACGAGTAAGATTATCTATACAATACGTATATTGAATTGTCTGAAAACATATTTTATCGACCAAACGTGACGCTTAGACCACCTGGATGCGCATTAGGATGATAATATTATGTCGCCATGAAATACAGTGATTTCTTTAAAGAGATAATATCTATCAAATGATTTGTCGCCGTCATCCGAAGGACAAAATGAACTACAACTATTAGCAGGTTTTGAAAAGACAAAAATCGTATGTATGCGAATACAAACGTTTCTTTACAGTATACACGAATTTTTAAATTACTCAAATTGTGTAATATTAAGTGAAATAAAATTATAGTTTCAAAATGTGTATACCAAATTTATCGTTAACATCTAGTAAACATGTATATTTTTTAATACAAAATGTGTACAACTCGGAATATACTCAATTATTTATTATTATTTTTTTCATTTAAAAAATCTAATCGAATTACATGGTGTATTTACATATGATTACATTATAAAGAAAAACGAATTATACACATTTATTATAATGTAGCGTCTGTATTATATTCTATACGAAGTAGATAATTGATACATATGTTGAATTATTGAAAATCACAAAGAGATCAAAGTG